CCAGCTTCTTCTTAGAGGGCAGGCAGGTACCCCAGCTTCTTCTCCAATCTCTTGTGGTATCTTTCATGAGCCAGAACCAACTGACAGTTGTAAGAGGGCAGCTGCCACAGCAAGAGTAGGGCAAGGAAGGAAGGGTGGCTCAGTGGAGGCACACAGGGAGAGTGATGTCATATGCATCTGTCGCTGAGGGCTGACCTGGAAGGACCAAGCATGTGCCTGATTTAATTTGCAGTAAGTCTGCTAGAAAATACCATCTGGAAAAGCTCTTCTTTGAAAGAAACTTTTAAAAAATACAGTCTCTGTTTTCATGTTTCTGCATTCTCCATCATTAAAGATCTATTCAATTTTTTCCAGGTTCAAAGATCTCTGGTTAGCAGCCTTCTCAAAGGCTCATCCAAGAGCTCTCTGAGCTATGGGGAATCTTCCTATAACTGTAAATGAACATACAGTGCAGGGGTTTACCAGAGGCCCTCCTAAAACTGGAGATAACTTCCAAAATGGCGATCCAGTCACCCACAATGACAATACCAAACAGCTCCTCACACATTAAATGTGAAGTATACACCCAAATCATTTGAAGTGCTCTCGTTTACTAATTTCATGTGTGCAGTGTGTGTGTGTGTGTGTGTGTGTGTGTGTAGGTTTCACCTTACCTTCTGATTACAGGATAAAGATAAATAAGGAAAAGTCAAAGCCACCATTTTCAAGAAGCCTGCTTAGCAGAGCTGGAGGCAAAGGTGAGGAACGGTTCACGCCGCGGGCTGCTGTGCGGCACAGAGCCTGATTTCGCACACCGCTGGCACTCCACGAATGTCTCCTGAACTGGCTAAACCTCGTCTGTCCCCATAATCAACTGTCGAAAACAGCACAAAAATTACTTCTTGGGAAAAAATCCAATTAGTGTTTGCAGTTGCATATACATACACACACATACATTCATACATACATACATACACACATACATATATATATATACACACATATATACACACATACATACATACATATATACATACATTCATACACACACACACAAATATATATTCTTTTGAGAGCAGGTCTGCAGGATCACATTATGTTTTTTCCTTGGACCTTAAAGGAAATCTCATCTATTTGAAGAAAATCTTCACATGAAACTCCTACCTGCACGTGCTACAGCACACTTAAAGGCATCATTCTGAAAACTGTGCTGTATCTTTTAACTAGGAAAACAGCCTTTCTTTTTGAACATGGTAAGAAAATGTAGAACCTGGTATAAGAGCCAAGAGCAATTTATATGTATTTTTTAAATAAAAAATTAAAAAACAGAATGTTAAAAACCTAGTCTTCACCAAACAAAAGGCTTAGTTTTATTAAAAGTGTTCAATTACAAAGTTAATTTTGAAGCAAACCTTTAGGACTGGAAAGCAACAATGTTACATCTACCATGGGAAGACAGGTTTTGGTGAAAGCGGAAAGACTATTTCATACTTGGAATAACATGATCAGACCCATAGTTTGTAGGATATCTGTCTCCCAGGCACTGATGTGAAATGGCCTTTGATATCCTAAATGTAACTCTTCAGAATCAGGCGGTCCTTCCCTTTTACTTTAAGAAAAAAATGAACCAAATCCCAGGGATCAGCACTGACTGCACCTCTGAACCAAGACTACAGAGAGGAAATCCTATTTGGTGTGGAGAATCCATTTTGATTTAACACAAGAACCAGTTCTGTGAGAAAAGACTGCCTTTCCTGGATGCGCCCTCTCATCTGCAGGCTGTTTTCCCTGGGGTGAAAGCAGGGGAACAGGGCTGCCAGAGCATGATGCCTGTGGATGCTGCTGCTGGCTGCTGCATTGACTTCCTTCTCAAAGCTCAGCACACAGCAAGAGGAAACTGCCTTGGAGTTCACCACAATGCAAGGTCGGAGTAAAGGATAACTAGAGCAGTTCAAATTCATCATGGGTAATCTGTAGTTCTCTAAATCTTTCTACCATTAATTTACAAGCCTCATGGAAGCAGTTTTTAATACTTCATACCAGAAGGCCGAAACAAGTTAAACCTCACAGCTGAACATTTCAGAAACAACCAATTCTTTTTATTATTCCAACTCAAATTTTCATTTGTTCACATCATTTGATGAATGCTAAGGAATTTTAGGAATATATCTTCTGGACACGAAAAAAATGAAAAGATAAAAATTAATTCCAACAGAGTTTTGAAAAAAATTGAAAGTTACAATCAATTATTGATATTTATTTGGTTCTACCGTATGAGCTGCACTTTGGCTTTAAGGTTAAGCCTCAGAAAGCATCATGAATAACTGCCCCGTGTAAGAAAGGTTCTGCAAGTATTGACAAGAGGGGGCTATTTCTTACTAGGACTAAGGTTTAACCTCGTAAAGGTTTATATCATATAAAAACAACCTGTCCGAATATGCAACCAAAGCCTGAAAAGAGGGCCTAGTATCCAATTGTGCTGTACCTTAAAGGGCAAGACAACCCTAGGCATTTGCCATTGACCAAGTAAAAATTTCAAGCCAGTCTGAACTGGTGCTCTCACCTGCCCCTAAAACAGCAAGTCTCAACTTGTGAGTCGAGACCCCTTCAGGGATCCAAGGACACTTTCACAGGGGTCGCGGACCAGATATCCACGTTATGATTCATAACAGTAGCAAAATTACAGCTATGAAGTAGCAATGAAATAATTTTATGGATGGTGGTCACAACAACATGAGGAACTGTATTAAAGGGTCGCAGCGCTGGGAAGATTGGAAGCCACCACTCTAGAAGGATCCTGCCTCTAAAAACATGAGAAGCCTAAAAGAGTGACCGAGTCGGACATTTCTAATGACTTCTCATTGGCATGGCATTCTTTAGTCATCACAACTCGGGACAGCATATACTTAAAACTTTACATTAACATTCATTTATTTTTCATGCAGTACCCAGGAAAGGGACGAGGGAACTAGGAGCATGATGGATTTGAAATAAATCTCACATGGAGAGATGTGGAGGTCACAGGCCTTCACAGAGACTCGTCGAATGAAGAGGGGAAGGCCCGAAGTGAGTCACTGATTTGGGAACGGTACACCACCAGGCTCTTGCAAGTGACCCAGGCTAGAGATCATGAACCAAAGTGCGGCCTTATAACAATGACTCAAACAGGCCACAGGGATGGAAACAGGTCACATGTAGGAGGTTCTCCCACTGTTCACTGGGACAGGAAAAGAAGCGTTGAGTTTTGAAGGCAAGGAAGAAAATGGAGGATGGGTCAATTAAACTTGTCTGCAGAATATACATGCAAAGAAGGCCTGCAGGCCTTGAGAAGCACAGGTGTGGATCAGAGAGCGATGATATGTCAATAGAAGAGGAATCTTTGACATCAGGTTGTCATCCAGCAGTGGGCACTGCTCACTAACGCCTCCTCGGAGGGCTGGATGCACAGGCTAGCTGAGGACAATCTTCCCTGTTTGTGTGCTCCACGAAAACAGAATTCTGACCCCCATGTCTTGCTCTTGGTCGCACCTGAATGGGCATCGCTCAGCAGGCGCTAGGAGACGTTCCAGTGGCCAACAATGTCACTAGTGGGCAGGACACTGCAGGCTAGGTTACTGCTCCCACGGGTGTTTTCCAGACACCTTTCAGGGTTAGAGCCGACGCTTCATTATCCAGCTCTCACCTCTTATTTCATGCCAGAGCATGAGAACATTAGGCATACCCACAGCTGGCAATGCCTTCTGGGGACTTCTCAAAATATAGGAGCTGGAAAAAGTATCCCGTTTTAAAGTGAAACTGCTGCTTGTTCGTCCACCCCTTTCCTCTTGCTCACTTACAGGCAGGATTCAGAACAGAGGCGGAGGTCTGCTATTGGGTTTCCTCCGGTAATTCTTTAAGTTGCTACTAAGGGGAAAAAAAAAATCTCCGAAAGGAGGCTGGGGAAAAGGCTAGGTGTGGCTGTTCCGGATTTCCGAGGCCAACACGGGGAAAAGCTGCCTTGGTACCAACAGCCCACGGCCAGCATCGGCCAGCATCGCCGCACTCAACGAGGTTCCCGCGGCGGGTGGCCGCTGGAATGCTCCTGCCGCGCACAAGTACCAGCCCTGCCCGCTTCAGTCTGGATGCCACGCAAGGTCCGCGGCCCTCCGGCCTCGGCCTCCCTGTCTGCTGCGGTCCTGCCTCGAGGCTCGGGACCGGCCCGCCTCCGCAGCTCCTTTCCTCACACCAAGTGAGGATGTATTTTCATTTTGCTTTCGAATACGTGTGTGGTTTAAATCTACGGGGCAGGGGACAGGTGCACAAGGCACGCCGGAAAGGCGCACAAGCTCATATGGGCGCGGACGCAAAACATGTTCCAAGAAGCAAGGAGGACACTACTGGCTCTTGCTTCGCACGCGGCGTCCGGGCGCGAGGCCCACCTTGTCTCGTCCGCACACCTGCCCTCGAGCGAACGAGTCCACGCGTGACCCCGGGACGCTCGGATGTCCAGCCCGCGCCACGGGCGCCCCCCGGGCCGCCACGCAGGCCCCGCCCCGCACGTACGTGCCCTTAACCAGCCCG